ATTTGGGTTTAACCTAACTATCTGTCTGAATATCAAACATTTTAGGCATAACATGGAACAGGTATTTTCCTTCAAATATTGATATGTTAAACTTTAAGCCCCTACAGAATATGAAGAAAAAAATTAAAAAATAAATAAAAATATTTAAAATATATAAATAAACAATTATATATTTTTTCACAGAAATTTAGAAATCTAACCATATACAGCATTATAGCAGGACTGTTGCTCACATTTTAAAGAGTATAACCTAGTTTCTGCACAAATAAAAGGATAGTGGGAAGTGAGTTAACAAGAAGGGAAGAAACTCTTGTCAATTAAAACAAATTTAAGCTAGATAACAACCAAATGCAACATGTGGACCTTAGACCAATTATAAAAAGATATTTTTGTGACAATGAAAGAAATATGTACAGAGATTATCAGATGATAATAGATATTACTAACACCATTAGGTCTAAGAATATTTGGTATGTAATTTAAAAAAAAAAACATCTGGTTGGGTATCATTATAATACAATTTTTACATAGCAATATTTATTTGCAAACATGGAGATATATAAAAAAGGAAATAAATAAACTGTTGCCTAGAGGAAGTGAAATGTGAGATTAGAAATGTTAGGTTACTGTAATGCTGTAACCCTTATATTTCTGTTGGCTTTCTAAAACAAGTACATGTGTACAGCAAATAACCACTAGGAAGAATGTATGCAATGTGTTAATTATTGAAACTATCCTTCCAGTTTGGTTTGAAACTGTCTCATTGCTATCTGTTTATCAATACAATTATGGAAAAAAAGTACATGGACTTTGAGAACAATTTAAAATGCATATTTTAAAAAATGATGCAAAAGATAAATTGTAGCCAGGTGCAGAAGCACACATCTATAACCCCAATTACTTGGGGAGGAAATTCAAGGCCACCCTGGGTAAGATCCAATCTCAAAATAAAAGATAGAAAGGGTTGAGGGTAGAGCTCAGAGCAAAAGCAGGCACTGGGTTCATTTCCCAGGACTGAAGGACAGAGCAGGAAGGAGAGAAGAGAAAGAGGGAGACAGAGGAAGAGAGGCAGTGAGTGAGGGTGGGAGAGGGAAAGACAGAGGGAGAAAGAGGGAAGGAGAAAAGTAAGAGAGGAAAAAGGGAGGGACGAAGGAGAAGGAAGGAGGAAGAAGGGCTGAGATGGAGAACAACTCTATCAGTTTCACAGAAACAAAGTCCCACTTCTCATTACTTTTACCCAGATGAATGCTCTGACAAGTGTATCTTTCATCTACCCTGCACACCACTAGCAATAAACTTTACATAGGACTATTCTTGAGAAAAGTCTAGTGAGAGCTGAGTCATACGAAAGACATTTCCTAAAGGAGGAAAAAATAAATTAACAATAACCAAGGCAAAATCAGAATCTTTGGGAGATGAGCAAAGAAGAAAGACATTTCCAAGAGTGATTCATAGATCAAATAGAGAATAGAAAACGTGTTGCAATATGGTGGAATTAAACATCTATATTTCTCCAAACATAAGCAGAAAACACATGTTCAAAGAAATTTAGACTTCTAAATTCCAACTCCAGAATATAAGGAAAGAACAGAGAATGGAGAAGCCCAATGTGGTGGTGCATGCCTGCAATCCCAGCACTCAGCAGGTTGAGGCTGGAGGATTACTGCGAGTTTGACGCCAACCTGAGCTACAAAGTGAGCTCAAGGCCAGGCTGACCTGAATAGTGAAACCCTCTGGCTCAAAAAGACAAACAAAAAAAGCCACACAGAGACTGGATTGAGGAAGATAGGGGAAAAACTCACTTGACCCTGACAAATGGCAGGGAAGGCAGATCTGAACAAGACGCAAACAAATAATACTGTGTGTGTAGGGGCCAGGGAGATGGCTCAGTAGAATAAATGCTTCCCTGGGAAGCGCAAGGGTCTGAGTTCAATCCCTGGTTCCGCAAAAACAAACAAACAAACAAACAAACAAACAAACAAACAAACCAAAAAACCCAAAACAATACTGTGTGTGAGCAGACCAGTGGTATAGGAGGATGAAAAAGACACTGAGTGCTAAAAGGAGCATACTAATGAGAATCTCTCTTTGACTTGGAAGAAAGGATAAACTAACTCAATACAAATCCTTGTATGATAAGGAGGTCATTGTCAGCTACAGAAGTTTTACTTCCTAAGTGAAAATTTTCCTGTATGGTCTTCAATACTAAGCTGTAAGTAGTGAGTCCAGGAAGAAATGCCCTTACTTAAAGTGAATGATGACAATTCTAAAAAAAAAAAAAAAAAAAAATCAAATCTATACAATGATACTCTTAAGATTATGGAGCCACAGAGAAATGTGTTCGAGGATTTAAAGTGGGCCTGGGGAGAATCACATGGAGAGAAAAAGCATTTTTTCAAGCTTTCACAGAGAGCAAATTGGTCAAGCAATGGCCGTGACTCATCCTCAGGTCAGACACTGACAAAGAATGTACAAAAGGTGGTACAGGGCTACAGGATAAATCCTGAGAGTACCTGACTGACCTTATCAGATACAAAAGTTACAATTCTGGGTATATAGGTCTTGCTATATCTTTGTCTTAACCGTCCAGTAGAAAAGTATAAAAATGAGGTATATAAAGTAAATCCATATTAATATGATGAGCTACAAAAGGCTCAAGTCAATAACTTCTGAGGATAACCCACTAATATTATAGACTGCTAGACACTATTAGATGTTTAGTTGAATTCAAACACTTAAAGTATTTAGATGCCAATAGAATATTTACCTCTGACAGGACAAAAATAAATAAATAAATAAATAAATTTTAAAAAAGAAAAAAAAATGGAAATAGAAAGAAGCAGTCAATGCTCTAATTAGCTTCGTCTTCTTTTTTTCAATTGTTTGTACTTTTTCTTTTCTTAATTTCTTATACATTTCTCCAGTTTTTTCTTCTTCCAATATCTGGTAATATGAATAGCTGGTTGTAAGACAATACCATGTATTACAACAAATACTGTGAAATTCATATTACTTTGTTAAGTAAAATTCTGTATGAGTTGTCAAAAAAAATTAAAAAAAAAAACAATGATGCTCTAAGAAACAATAAAAGAAGAATCTACAAAGTGAAAGAAAACATTGATTTTGATTGGTCAATGCTAAAACACAGTCTCGTACAATTCTAAAACAAACAACAAATCAACAACAACAAAACCTATAGGCATCCAAGCAAATAAATCAAGTGATCTAGGAAAGAAAATAATCAGGCTTTTTCTCTGAGTAACATTCAAAGCTGGGAAATAATAGATAATCATTGATACCAAATTAAGTACTAAGTTAAAGTATTGAGGCCTGAAGTCCTTAGGAAACTGTCTACATTAAACCTTTGGGGGAACAGTATGGCTTAAGAAGTTTAGACGCAGCTAACTATAACTCAAATATAAGCATTAAAGAAATTTTTAATATACAAAACCTCGAAGACTCTTTTTCCTAAATTACAAGCTCCATAAGGTCAAGACTTTGTTTTGTACACTTACTTGCCTGTGTCCAGAACAGTGTTTTATTCTTGCTATCACTATTATAAATGTGGCTTCTTTTCTTCTATATCTTCTTCTTGGTGATGTATACATAAAAGCTATTCATTTTTATTTGTTGATTATGTGCCACCTTACTGGATTCTTTTAGTATTTGTAGTGTACTCTTGTATTTTTTTTAGGGCTACAAAACCATCTAGAAATAAAAATAGCTTTATAGTTTCCTTTACAGTTCTTACAGTGTTTTTTCTCTTCCCTAATATGTAAGTAAACCTAATGAGAAATATCCAAAAACTATAAAGAAAAACCTGGAAAGACACTAGATAGATACAAACACACTACATCTTCTTGAATGAAAAATCTTCTTATTATAATAAGATAATAAGGATGGCAAATTGCTGACCATTAATTATCTACCATAAATAATCCCACAGGCTTTTCTCTGGGAATATATAGAGTTAAGTCCAAAAATAATATGCTAAAGTGAACAATCAACCAAGAATAGCTAGGGTAGCTTTGAAAAAAGAAGTGTACATAACTGAAAAAAGGAAGTGCCTAAGTGTCAAGAATAAGAAGACTTGCTTTTGAGGTGTCTATTGGATTGCTTATATTTTTAAAAAAGTATTCAAATAGTATATTATCAAAAAATTTAAGGACTGGAAAGTGGGCATAAAAGAAGGTGGCATGAAATTTCTAAGCTAGAAATTTAATTTCTGAGCCAAGAGATCATGAGAGTTCTGAAGTATAATGGAAGTATGATCACCATGACAGAAGGGTTTTTTTTTTTTTTTTTTTTTTTGTATTTTAGAAGGGTCTACAGGGTGTTCAGGGTCTCACTACTAGATAGGATGTTACAGCCTCCCAAGAGCTGGGATCACAGGCACTCGCCACCATGCCCAGGGGCAGGGCCGGCATCACGTGGAAAAAAGTTAAAAGGAATCTAAGTGTGAAATAAACGTATCTTAAAAATACTATATATCCTTCAAATACCAAATGCATAAGAAAATGCAAAGGAAAGTCCAAGGAATAGAGAGACAAAAATCCCAAAAGTACATTGCAAACAAATTAGAGAAGTCTGGCATCCTGCAATTACACTGGGGTATTGGAAGGGGCCTGCTGTGCTGACCCCACCCCAGGGCGTGCTGAGACAGCAAATGAGACTGGGCAGGTGGCGCATGCCTGTAATCCCAGCACTTGGGAGGCTGAAAACATGAGGATCACTACGAATCTGATCTGTGTAGTGAGACCCTGTACTAAATACACACACAAAAAAATAAAATATACATTGGGGTATAGGACCTCTACGTTAAAAAAAGGGGGAGAACTCTCTTACAAGAATAATGTTGAAATGTCATGACAATCCAAGGCATTCATACCATTTGTGACTCTAGATGTGCGGCCTTTTAGAAAATCTTGGGAAGTATGAACGCTTTAATGAAAACTGTCATGTAGCCAGCTCCTTTAGAGGTTGATTTTTGACATATTCACCTGGAAAGTGCCTCCAGAACATTTCTTCCTCCATCACCCATGGCTCCTCCTCCTGTTCCAACTTGAAGATTACATCTGGTTTGGTAACTTCACAGCCTATTATGGTAATGAACAAAGAGCTTCGATGTTAATGCTGGAGACAACCACACAGGCCTTGTGCTGAACTGCAGGGGCTTGAAGGCCTATGAAGAATGAGGATAAAGAAAACCACAATGGACACAAAGTAAATAGTCTCTATGCTGATGACTAACATACAATTATGTGGAAAAAAAGGGAAGGCCAATTAACTGCCAAACCAAAGTCACCACACATTTCAGAAATGGCAAGAAAATTTGGCTTTAACTGCAAAGTTACCCTTACCCACTGTGACTAGGTTGCTATAGTTCTCCAGCATCACATCACGGTACAAGATCCTTTGAGCAGGTTTCATTTGCTGCCATTCTTCCTGAGTAAGGTCCACAGCCACATCTTTAAATGTTACTGTTTCCTGTAAAATACAATCCTAATTTGAAATAATCTAAGGTATTGAGTATTATTATTGAGGTAAGTATTGAGGTTAAAAAAAAGAACTTATTTAACTAGTATTCAGGAGTCAAGACTGGGCATGGTGGTGTGTGCCTGTAATCCCTTGGGAGGCTGCAGGTGGATCACTAAGAGTCCGATCTAGTAGTAAGACCCTAAACACCCTGTAGACCCTTCCCTAAAATTTAAAAAAAAAAAGGATGCAGGAGTCAGATTTCATTAAAATTATTTACTTGGTTTTTATATTTACCTAATTTTTTAAATTTAAGACTTTAATTATCCTTATAATTTTCTCTGATTTTCCCCTTGATTTGGTTTGTTCACATATATTGTTGATAATTTATAAATATTTGATGATGATGATACTAAAGTGTACATTAAGTAACCATTCTAATGATAGCTATGTTGGTACTAAAACATATACAAATGTTACAGTCTTATTTTCAAGGCCAATCATGGAATCCTCCCTTTCCATTTTACCAGGTAGGAAAGGATGTGGGAAGATTCTGCAAGAGGATATGTTTGTTATTCCTTTCTTAGACATGCTAGGAATTTGGAATTTTTGACAGAACAAACATTTGGGTTCTGAAACAAAGTTTTAAAAAACGGACAAACTGTGCAATTAATTTACTGATATAGCTAACTCATTTTGCTAAGGGTATATAGCTCCAGCTCTCCCTGAACTGTTGCTGACCCAGTCAAGGATGCCTGGGTCAGTAGCTCAGATCTGCAACTTCTTTTCTCCTTCCTTCTTTCCCACTGGCCATACTATATGATACAATAAATTGATATTCAATCATTTGCTCTACTGAGCATCTTTCTTAATTGTAGTGTTTCTTTACTGTGCTATTTTCCTTTATTCAGAGTATTATCTTATAGGTTCTTATATTTCTTTTTTTCTGCTGTAATTTGTTTCCCTTGTTCGCTCCAACACTGTCCCCACCCTCAAGTCCTCTGCCTCTACCTTTGTCCCAGAGATCACACTGGGGACGGCCTTTGCTTAGCTCAGCCTTAGCACTGCCTCTCACTAACTCTGTTCTCTGGGATGCATGGCATTTAAATCAGGGCCTCCAGTAATTAACTTTTTTTTTTTTTTTTTTTTTTTGGCAGTACCGGGGATTGAACTCAGGCCCTTGTGCTTGCCAACCCTGCACTTGCCAGGCAAGCGCTTATTCTACTGAGCTATCTCCCTGGCCCAACTTTTGCTTCTGTAAAAAGACATTTTCTTCCTTTTTGGGGGAGAAGAGATGGAAGTCTCTCTCAATCCTCATCCTCTTGTGTTTCCCACAAGGCATCAATCTCCCTACTCACAGTAGATCTTGATTTTCTGATGTTGCATCTCTGAAATTCTTTAATGTGGTGTATAAAATAACAGCTACTGATAGAAAAATATGTTGTTTAAAAAATCTTCATTATCAGAAGTAAGAGCAGCTATGCATTCTGACCTTTAATCCCTTTCTTAGTTTCTCCCTATCAGGCTGGGGCAAAGGCAACTGGGAATAATAAAGTTGAATATTTAATTATTTATGCAAGGAATTTTGACTCCCTTGGGGATCTTGGTCTATTTACCTAATTTTGTATCACACAATGAAGGGAAACACAACACATTAGAATTGTTTTGTCACCGTATGTTAATTATTGAGTCAGCAAACATTAACTCATCATTTACTAGATGATGAATCCATGGAGTCAGTGGTCACTGATTTTTACTGGGCTATCACAGAGATGAAAAAGTTGGATATGACTCAGAGGTTTTAAATGAATTAAAACCTGGCCAGTTGATTGTGTGATCTAGTGAGAAAAGGCACATAACAGAGAATGGAAAGGAAAGAGGAAAAAAGCAGGAGAAGAGAGTGTATCAAAATTTGAGAATATAAAGCAGAAATTTCCTACAGGAATTCCAGATTGAAAATGTCCCCTATGCAATCAGATGGAGAATAAAGATGAAAATGTTTTAGCCATTAACCTAAAATGAAAATCTGAATCCACAGCTGAAGGATATAAGTGGTTTTAGACAATATGCACAGCGGGTAATAGGGTCATGGACAGGATCAACAGTTAAACATCAAAGAAAGAGGCTCAGTTTTTATTTTATTTATAGCCAAATTATTAGGCTAGAAACAATATGACTCGATCACAAGTATCTAGTTCTTCTCCCCCATTTAAAAATTTCAATATTCATAAAGGCTTAGAGAAAGAAAATTATTCACATATACCATATTTGGTGGAATTTATTTTAAAAAATGTACAAATGGGATGAGACAAAATGGAAAGTACAAATGGAAATCACCAAAAGCAGAACTGCAAGAAATGCTGCAGAGAAATCATTATGATCATCAATATTGTCACTACTGTCATCTGCTGAAAACTTGTCAGGCAATGTTATAACTACTTTTGATCCCTTAACTTCTGTAATTCCCCTAACAAGGCTATGGACTAGTTATTACTGTATTATTATCCATTTAAAAGGGAAGAGAACTGGGGTTAAATGTAATTCTCTGGTCATAAACTGATTACTTGTAGAGATGAGAATTCTAGTCCAGTATGGCTCAAAGTTATAGTTTCTCACACATCATACTATATTTCCTCTAGAAAAAGAGCAGAAATCATCTCAGAATCTCACAAATGTCCTGATTCACCACAAACAACAGAGAAAGGCTTTATCTTAAACTCCTTTTGTTTATTGCTGAGGTTTTACTTAAAAGCATCTAAAACCACCAAGACAGGAAACCAGAGGAAAAATATGATAGATAATAAAATAATAGTGATACATTATCATGACTTTACAGTGAGATAGTTCATGAAGCAATGAGGAGAAAGGATAAAGACAAAACCAGATGAAGAAAACTAGCTTTTGCTGCAATGGTTTCTCTAATTATGGTATAAATAAAAGCACACATAAAATATTCTTGTTGTTACTGCCAATACATGACTAACCAAACTAGTTAAATAAACTCACAAAGGGTTGGGGAGATAGCTCAGTGGAATAAGTGCTTGCCTGGCAAGTGCAAGGTCCTGAGTTTGGTCCTTGGTACCACCAAAAAAAATAAATAAAAGATAAACTCATAAAAATATCTGTTTAAAATTTGAGCTGAAGCAGGGGTAGTGGTACACATCTATAAATCCAGTACTCAGGAGGCTGAGGCAAGAGGATCGTCCCAAGTTTGAAGCCAGCCTGGTCAATATAGTGAGTTTAAGGTCAGTCTGAAACACAAATCTAGGGGTGGGGGGGAAAGACTAGCTAGGTACAGTAGTGCACGCTTATAGTCCCAACTACAAGTGTGGCTGAGGTGGAAGGATCACTTAAGCCCAGGATTCAAAACTAGACTGGGCTCAGGCTCCAGAAAAGACTTCATTGAAGAATGAAGGAATCATTAAAATAACTTTAGAAGAGGCTGCGGAAATGGCTCAGTGGAATATGTGCTTGCCTGGCAAGCGCAGGGGCCTGAGTTCAATCCCTGGTCCTGCAAAAAAATTAATTAATTAATTAATTAACTTTAGAGCAAATACTTGGTATAAAAGACATGGTAAATGTAAAAATAAATTAATTTTTTACTTTAAAAGGCCACATAGTATATGTCTACATATACTGCCATCTCCAAAATTGTTATCTTGATAATTTTAATAAATTAAGCAAACACTTGATAAATTCAAATGAAGAAAATATGCTAAAAATAAAATACAATAAAGCACAACTAAAATACATAAAAATAATGAAATATAATTAACCAAGCCTAGGGATTAAAAGGAACATGGAATTTAAAAAGTAAGTTTTTAAAACGTGATTAAGAAGAGTTCCACTTTCTAGAGACGTATCCATACACTAGGTTCCCAGTAAAGCAAATGAAAAAAAAATTTTTTTTTTAATTATATAAAACCAATTATTTGGGAGGCTGAGGCTGGAAGCTCACAAGTTCAAATCAAGTATGGGCAACTTAAAAAGATCTTGCCTCAAAATAAAAATAGAATGGGCTTCGGAAGTAGCTCAGTGCTTACCCATGCATGAAGTCCTGGTTTCAATCCAGCACCTCAAAGAAAACAAACAGAAAACAAAAATAATAGTCTCTGAATCAGGCATGGTGGCATGCTCCCAGGTTCTCAGGGGCCTAAAGCAGGAGCCCTGATGGAGCCTAGGAATTCAAAGGCAGCCAGGAAAATACAGAAAGGCCTATGAGTCTGAGGCAGGAGGACAGCCATGAGTTCAAGGCCTGCGTGGGCCACATATCTGAAGGCTAGTCTGAACTACATAGTGAGATCCTATCTTAAACAAAACAAAATGAAACAGCCCCCAATCTCCTAACAAAGCCCCAGTCCAAAAAACAATACCCTGGAAATTGTCCTAAGGGAACAACCAAATATTTTTTCAAAAGAATCTACTAAAATGGCAAAAACTTTTGATGGTATGCGTGCATATAGACCCATATCCCTGGTGAACACAGAAGCAACTCCCCCCAATACTAACAAATCAAAACCAACAACATATGAAAAATTTCATTCACCAGAATCAAGTGAGATTACCCCAGAAATGCAAGGATAATGCAATCAATAAATACAATGCATCATATTAACAGAATGAAGGATAAAAACCATATGATCATCTCAACAAACAGAAAAAGCATTTGATAAAATTTAATATACCTTCATATAAAACTCCCCAAATAAGGTACAGTATACAAGAACTATACCACAACACAATTATGTAAGGACCACATATGATTAAACAGCCTACATCATAATGAATGGGGAAAATCTGAAATTATTTCCTCTAAGATCAGGAATGAGACAAAAATATCTACTTTTACCACTTTTACTCAATATGGTGTTGGAAATCTTAGTCAGAGCAATAAGAGAAAGAAACAAAGTATAGCATACATGACTTTCAAAGAAAGAAAAACCTGAGTGCCAGCCAAATAGCTCAGCGGATTAAAGTGCCTGTAAGCAGGCGCAGGGGCCATGGGTTCAATCCCTGGGCCTGCCGTGCCAGCCCTGATGAGACTGGGCGTGGTGTCACGCACCTGTAATCCCAGCTCTTGGGAGGCTGTAAACGGGCAGATCACTATGAATCCGATCTAGTAGTGGGACCCTGAACACCCTGTAGACCCCTCCCTAAAATACAACAACAACAAAAAAAGAAAATATTTTAAAATGATCAAAGAAAGCCTCTGTTGTTCCAAGTGTATTTAAAGATATCTGCAGGAAACATTCTAAAAGGAAATTATGAAAACAGCATTATTTACAGTGGTATCACCCAAAAAGGAAATTAAGAAAGCAACATCATTTACAATAGTTACTGAAAGAATAAAATACTTAGGAGCAGATATAACATATTAAGTGTAAAACTTGTATTTTGAAAACTCCAAAATACCACTAATATTTTAAAAGTACAAAAGATGTCTCACATCCACAGATCATTAAACTTAGTATTATCAATATAACAATATTTCCAAATTAATCTACAAAATTTCTGTCAAAATGCAGCTGCTTTTTGTGCAGAAATATACAGGCAGATACTAAAATTCATATTGAAATGCAAGGGGTCCAAAAGAGCCAAAACAATATTGAAAAAATACAATTCTGAAATTCAACTTCACAATTCCAAAAGTGCAGGGATTGAACTCTGGACCTTGCATTTGCCAGCCAGGCATTTACACCACTGAGGTATATCCCTGGCCCTAGATAGTCATAATAAATCAATGAAATAGACTGAGATTCTAAAAATAAACTTCACATTTATTTTCAACTGACTTTAGACTACAGTGACACGATAATTCATTAGGAAAAAGTTTTTCAGTAAGTGGTATTGAGACATTTGGATTATCTATCTATAGAACAATAAAACTGAATCACCACCTTAACTCACACTCAAACTGTGTAATCCTCAGAAGGAAATACATATTTAAATCATAATTTTGGATCAGGAAATGATTTCTCAGCTATTATACCAAATATACAAAAGAAAATCAAATAAAAATGGACATTAGAAAAATTTAAAAAAAAAATTGTGCCTAGGGGCAACATCAAAGGGGGAGGGCACTAACAAAGGCTACCAAAATGGAACAACCTTGAAAACATTACACTCAGTGAAAGAAAAAGTAATAAGACTGTATACTGTATCATTCAATTTGCTTGAAATGTCCAGACTAGGCAAATCCAAATTCACAGAGATAGAAAGTGTATCTGTGCTTACCTACATTAGAGCCTTAGGAGACAAAATAGAAAATGATAGTTAATTGGCACAGGGTTTCATTTTAGGGTGATAAAAATGTTCAAGCACTGATTATGGTAAAGGCCATGAATACAATAAAAACCACTGAATTATACTTTTCTTTTCTTTTTTTTTTTTGCAGTTCTAGAGATAGAACCTAAGGATGCTGTGAATGTGAGGCAAGCATTCTGACACTGAGATACAGTCCTAGCCCCAAACTGTATACTTGCAATGGCTAATTTTGTCTTTCCTATATTGCTTGACTACCGGTAAATTCCTTTACTGTCCATGTCACTGGCCTTCTATAAGTGGCATGGCATATGTCAAAACTTTCTTTAAAGTTAGGAGACTATATTTCAACACATTTAGGTTTTAAAAATCTCCATTAAAAATTTCATTTGAATATGTTAGTGATAAATTAATTATTTAGCATATCTTCATTTCCTACCAATAATGAATGTCCCAATACTAACATGGATCGCTGTCTGAGGTATTTGTTAAGGCAAAAGGAATGCTAGTGGACATGTGACTGAATGCCCGAAACGTGCTTAGGCCCTATAACTTGTACACCAGTATGCCAGTCACCAAGCAAGTGAAGAGTCTGCTCTAAGAACCATTTGTCCTTTTACCTACATCAAAGAATGAACACATGCAGGAGAAATGGCCTGCCTCATAGCCTATCCTGTGATAGGTTACACATTGGATGCCATCTTCAACCAATATGTAACCTAAAGCAGATCTGCTCACACAATTATTCTGTGGACTCCAGGCATAAAATAAATGCCTGTTATTCAACCCTTTAAAAAGTTGCAAAGATAACCAATTGACACGTTACCACTTGAAAAAAAAATTCAACTTACTATTCTCTTCAAATCAAGGAAAATTTAGCTATTTTCATTGGTTAACGAAAAGTTGCATAATCTGATGTCAACGGTTCAAATCTTGGCTTCACAGTTTACTGTATAACCTTGAGAAGTAGGCAAACTTGACTGTGTTCTCATTGGTAAAGTGTGAAAGGCTGATATAATGACAAAAAAAAGAGAAGGGGCAGGGAGATAGCTCAGCAGCATAAGCGCATGCCTGGCAAGCTCAAGGTCCTGAGTTTGATACCTGGTACCAAAAAAAAAGAAGAAGTACTGAGAACAGAACTTGCCCCCAGTAAATCATTACATGAAGATTTCAGGGGCCAGAGAGATAGCTCAGTAAAATAAGTGCTTGCCTGGCAAGCATAAGGGCCTGAGTTCAATCCCCGGTTCTGAAAAAAAAAAATAAAAATAATGATAATAATAAAGATCAGAAAAAATTAGATCTTAAAAAAATCAAATCACATTTCATATTATTTTGACTCCTCCTACTACTAAAAAGCACACACACACACAAAAGATTAATATACCACTGATCCTAGTAAGAAGCATTAAGATTTCTAAAGGTTTTTGCGAGTAACAGAGAACCTTCTTCACTTTAAAAAAATCCAACAGCATATGTCTGATAAAGGTAGTGTTACAAAAGACTGATCTGGTATTTAATAAAGATGAACAACTTGTTTTCTATATGCAGAAATGATTCTACTGATAGAATTATCAGTAAATTCCTACCTCTAACGAATTTCAAATTATGTTCTAGTTAAACACTATATATTAATAGCAAAACCTTGAAAAGAAACCTAATGTAACAGAAGAAGAGTTATCTTTAAAAAAATATTGGGAACTCAGGAAAGAAGACTACGAAACACTCATTGTTATTATGACTAAACTATCTTATTACATATACTTATTTATCATCTATTACATGTAACTATCCCAATTCAAGTGTCAGTGCACTTGATAAGAGCAGAAGTGTTCAAAATCTGTTCATAAATGACCAAAGAAAGAACTCTACATAAATCATAATACTGATGTAGGCATTCTTAAAATTCTCTAATTTTGAATAGAAAAGGGAATAACAAAACAGACTATAGCAACAGGCAACAGCTAAAGTATGCAGTTCTTTACCTTTGAGTACCATCTCAGAGAATACAGACCCTATGTCAGACTATATCGGTTTAAATCCTGAGTTTATTACTTACTGGTACAAAGTTATATAAGCTTTTTACCCTTTGTGTTTTACTTCCCACACCTATAAAAATTAAAATAATTGCATCTGTTTCACAGGCTTCTGACAATGATTATGTAAATCATGTAAAGTTTATAGCACAATACATCTAGTAGTAAGTACTCATATAAAGCTATTAATAGGATTTTTCTAATTGCTGCACAGTCGACTCAAAAGTAAAAGGAGACATGGAATCTATTTACATCCACATTCCAGAATGTGATTAAGACTGCAAGGCCTCAAATGCATGTTAGTCCATTTCGACTCGATAATCCAAACTGAAATACTTGGCTGTGTAATATGAATGAAAATACATACACTGGATAGCTAAGAGTATCCACACTGTATATCAGGATTCCTTTACCACACTTTATAGGCTTTTTACTCTTTAAATAAAATACATTATATAAACTAATAATTTAAAAT